ACTCTGGTTTTACGATATATCTTTTACGATTATGCATTCTAAGTGAGATTGAATTTTTGAGTTGTACCTTTCGATCAACCCAAACATCCATTCATTCATCAAGGTTGCTTAGTTAGTAAAAAATTAGGGCTTTTGTATTCACGGATGGTCTTCAGCACCTAATTATCTCTTGCACTAGAACGCTACGAATGCACTACGCCTACAAAATATTTGCAGAAATTATAGAACAGCTTTTCAAAGGAATCTTTGTGTTTTAACTACTATACATACACTCCACATATATACGATACCGTCGGTGGCAGCGTTAAGATTTGCGAAGCGCGATGTCTCGTCGGAAGCGCCGCATCGCCATAACTCCTTTGTACTTATGAAAACAGCAAAGATAATTAAATATTTAGAGTCAGCACCTCCCAGACTGACTGTTACGCTACTTAGATTTTAAATTCACTAATTGTACAATTCTGCTGATGTCACTGGTGTGCGACGAGTTATTGTTTACGACCGAACTCGATCGAGTCGTTCTTAATTAATTCTTTTGGTGCATTTGCTTCATGGTTGAAAGTAAACCTTCACTGCAATAAAAAATCACTTTTTTGAGCCCTGCTATTGATAAAAGCAGTAAATATTATTCAGAGCACTTTTCATTCGCAATCTTCATTTAAAATCTCAACATTTGCTGAAATATTGTACAAATTTTGGTTAATTAGTTCAAAAGAAAGTATGGAAGTTCTGAAGTGAAAAGGCTTCTAAAAATAACACTAAATCACGAAAAAAAACGAAATAACTCTTTCACTTTCGGCATTTCCACCGTTATCGGTTTTGTGCCTACATTGGTGTAGTGATTCCCTGCAGGACTCAAATTTATAGGACAGGTCATAGACGCCTCGGTTAAGAAAGATACGAAATGTAAATAAAATAACAACATAATTAATTCATATCAACCGGTATTTTTAAGCTAGAAAATTAGAATTCAATTCTTGGTAGAGTTGGTCTTGATAAATTAATAAAGTAATTGAGAACTTTCATTGCTTTGCAACTAGACATCAACATACATTCGATTATATTTCATTACTCCTTTTTCGTTCATACATTTTTCCAGGCACATGTATTAAAACTACTGTTCACACAACTTGTAGGGTCACGCCGTCGGCACTGCAAGCCAAATTAGTAAGAGAAGAATGATCGCACAAAGTATTGATATTACTTTGCAGCAGAAGTCTTTTTATTTTGATG